AAAATTGAGAGTTGGCACCGGTTCGAACTAAAACTGGTGCCAACTTAAAAAAAAAAATTAAAAAATGGTATGGAAAAAAGTTGGCACTGGTTCACCGGTTCAAACCGGTGCCATTTATGAGATAAAATCGGGTTTCAATTCCTTAATATATAATACTTCATTCTTCGTTTTTCAATTCAGTCTTTCATTCTGTACTAGAAGCTTCTTCGTTTTTCATTCTGTGATCTCTAACTCTGAAATAATTGCATGCTCTCCTTCCTAATTTCTCATCTCTCATCTCGATCTCTTCTTCTCTCTCATCTCTATTCTTCTTCTTTAATTTGTAGTTCTTCTCTCATCTCGTTATGCTTCTTTGACCCCTCTCATCTCTGTTCTTCTTTCTCCAACCAAGCACAACAACCAAGCCGTCGCCGTCAACCACAACAAACATCGCCGCCGCCTTAAATCTGGGTAATTTATGGGTTTTCCGATTTCTGGGTTCTTGAATCTGGGTAATTTCTGGGTTTTGGGTTTCTGGGTTCTGGGTTATTTCACGATTTTGCTCGGTTTTTTCTGTGTTCTTAGGGTTTCTGGGTTTTGTTTTTTTTTCTAGGTTTCTGGGTTTTGTGGGTTGAATCTTTGTGGGTGTATTTGTGCGAAATCGTTCGTTTTTAATGGGGTTTAATTGATCGATTTGTGTTCGATTTTTTGGGTTTAATTGTTCGATTGGCTTTCATTTTTTTTGGGTTTATTTGTTCTATTTATATTTTGTTTTTTTTGGTTGAATTTATATGGGTTGAATCTTAGTGCCTTGTTCGATTTTTGTATATTTGACAACGGGAGAAAGAAGGATAGCAATATGTATATTTGACGATGTTGTTGAGCAGTGTCGTGAAGCTGCTCTCAAGTAAGCCTAGCATCTCAAGGGACAAGATGCTTCTTCAGATAGAACAAGAATGCCTGGATGTTTACAAAAGGAAAGTTGACCTGGCTGTTAAATCAAGGGCTCGGCTTCTCCAGACCTTGATTCTGTTAGATTGATTCTTTTTTTTTTAAATTTTTTTTTTTTCAGTTTTTTAAAGTGTAATATTACAAGTTATTGAAGAAAATATGTGAGTTTTATGTATATTATGATTATATATAAGTATTAGGTACAATTTAAGTGAAAAAATGCAATTTTTTTTTTTAATTTTTTGGGCATTTTTCGCACCGGTTCACAGTAAGAATCGGTTCGAAATCTTTTGGTTTTTGGCATCCCTCAAATAAGGACCGGTTCAAAACCGGTGCTAAATGGGGGTTTTGAACTGGTGCCCATTTGTATTTTTCGCCTAGTGTCATGAGCCTAAAAACTTTAAAGAGGCTATGAAGCATACAAGATGGAGAGATGCAATGGCCGCTAATATTAGAGCTCTAGAAGAGCAAGGCACGTGGGTACTTGAGAAGCTTCCGCCCGGGAAGAAAGCTCTTGGAAGCAAATGGGTATATACAGAGAACCGAGATGAACATGGTAATTTGCTGAGATTGAAGGCGAGATTGGTAATCTTGGGCATTCATTAGGTTGAAGGCTTAGATTACAATGAGACGTTTGCTCCGGTTGCTAAAATGGCGATAGTTCGGACTTATTTTGCAGTAGCAGCCGTGAGAAACTGGGAAGTGCATCAGATGGATGTACATAATGCATTTTTGCATGGCGACCTAGAAGAAGAAATTTATATGAAAATTCTTCCTGGTTTCAATAAAGATAACTCTGAATATGTTTGCAGGATGAAGAAGTCATTATATGGCTCCTAGATATTGGTTTGCTAAATTGACTGCAGCTTTGAAGAAATATGGATTTAAACAATCCTATTCAGATTATTCTTCGTTCACTCTGACGAAAGAAAAATTACAATTGAATGTGATAATATATGTTGATGATTTGATTGTTGCAGGGAACGATAAAATTGCCTTGTCAAAGTTTAAGGCATATTTCGGAAACTGCATGCTTTAAGATGAAATATTTGAGAGTGTTGAAATACTTCCTAGGGCTTGAGTTTGCTCGAAACAAGTAGGGTTTTTATATTTGTCAACGAAAATATTCTCTTGATATTATTTTCGTAATTGGGTTATTAGGTGCGAAACCTACAGATTTTCTGATGGAACAGAATCATAAATTGGCCCTAGCAGAAGGTAGGGTGTTGGATGATGGGGAGAAATATAGGCGACTTGATGGGCGCCTAATATATTTGTTTGTGACTAGACCAGATCTTGCATATCCTGTACATATATTGTCCCAGTTTATGTAGAGTCCGAGAGAAGACCATTGGGAGGCCGCACTTCGTATGGTCCGTTACTTGAAGAAGAATCCGGGTCAAGGAATACTTCTTCGTTCAGACAGTGAGTTGCAACTTGAAGGGTGGTGTAATTTTGATTGGGCTAGTTGCCCTTTGACGAGGCGGTCGTTGACAGGTTGGTTTGTGTTGCTTGGTTTTTCCCCTGTGTCTTGGAAAACCAAGAAACAACATACTGTTTCCCGCTCTTCTACTAAGGCAGAATATAGGTCGATGGCTGCGGTGACTTGTGAACTGAAATGGTTGAAACAACTACTTTGGAGATTTGGGTGTGCGCTATCCACAGGGTATGAACTTGTATTGTGATAGTCAGTCGGCACTATACATTGCTCAAAATCCGGTGTTCTATGAGAGAACGAAGCATATTGAGGCAGACATGCATTTTGTGCGAGATGCGATTAAGGATGGTTTGATTTCACCTTCATATGTGCCGACGAAGGTGCAACTAGCTGACATTTTTACGAAAGCTTTGGGGAAGACTCAATTTGAGTATTTACTTGGCAAGTTGGGCATTCGAGATCTTCATGTTCCAACTTGAGGGGGGATGTTAAGATAGGAATATATCTTATATGATAATATTTAAGGAAGATATTGTGATATTATCTTGATAGGTTAATTATTCCCCAAGCTATCTCTTGTATAAATATATGTGAAAGATGAATGAGAAAGTTGAGATCTTAAGATTAATTTGACATAGGTTTTTCTGGATTCGTATTCAATGTTCGAAACATTATAATTTAACCCTTCTGGTGAATTTGGTGGTTAATTCATGATTTCAGAAATCTTAAAATTTCGCATATGTTGTGTAGATTGGGGCATATTTTTAATCTCCATCGATGCGCGAGTGTATTTACGAGACAAATATCATACATTAGTGATTAATTTTATCCATGGATGCACCTTTATTTTTTTTTTGAGGAATATCCATGGATGAACCTTGAAGAACAATAACAAACAGTTTTTTTTATTTTTATTTCTTTATTTAATCTTATTTTTTAACTTAATTAAAACTGATTTTATTAAAATAATTATGAAAATAAAAATTTGATTTTCCAAAAATCAGAAAAAAAATTTAGAAAAAAGAAAATGATTTTAAAAAAAATAAATTAAAAGGTTTGACCAAGTATTAAAATAAGGAAAAATCAATCAATAGAATTTAAGAGTAGTGGTGGTCAATAAGGATGACCATAGTAGAAACATCCTTGTATGGTTACAGTGCGTGGCTTCAAACTCTAATATCCATTAGCTTATTGTGATTTCAGATTCTTATAATCTGATCTTGTTACTCTACTATGAGGTGAATAGGTGATGGAAGAGGTGACATCAATTTCCTATGGCTCTTACAAAAGATTAAGCTCCTAAGTTCAAGGGTCGACTTTTCATTAATTAGTGTAGTATATATAAGGCAGATAAATAGCGTGTTCACAGGGCTCACCAAATTGCTAGTAACATGAAACGTGGATTTTGTCAAGGGTTTCTTTTTCAACCTTTCTCCCAAAAAAAACAGTCACCTTAAATCTTAAACATAGGGATGTTATTTGTACTAAGTCACTATACAAGAGAGCGAGGTAAATTGGATCAACTTTGGTTTTAAATCATTTTTTTTAACAACGCAATAAAAAAACAACACACAAGAGTACTTCTCATCTCTAGCTATACTCGATAGATATTGAGTAATCTTACACGAGAATACGAGATACAACTACTACAACAAGGTATACTGAACGATTTCCATAAAAAAAAATGCTAAAAAGAATGAAACATTTTCTTACATGCGTTGATTTCAAAACTAATTCCTCACATACTGTCCACGCAAGATCGATTAGTAGGAGCCAAGTTACTTGGATTAAGGGCATGTTCTTTTCACTTTATGTTTGTTCAGCCAGAATGATTTTCAATGAACTAAAATTACTTTTCCTGAAATTAAATTAGTTTGAATTACTTAACTTCAATTTTTTTTACTGATTCTTTATTATTATTATTATTATTATTATTATTATTATTACTATTATTATTATTATATACCTATTTTTATTGATTAAGACTTAGGCCCCGTTGACTTCACCTTATTTTTGCTGAATTGAAATTATTTTTACTGAACTAAAATTATTTTTGCTGAACTTAAATTATTTTTACTGAACTGAAATTATTTTTACTGGTTTTTAGTCATATTTCTTCTTTAAAGTTACTGATTTTTACTGAACTGAAATAATTTTTACTGAGCTGAACTTATTTTTACTTAACTGAACTTTTTTTTGCTGTACTGAAATTATTTTTACAGAATTGAAATTATTTTTATTGAATATTATTTTGTTAAGGTGAAGTGAACAGGATCTTATTTTTATAAAACTGGACTTAATTTTTGTTGAACTAAACTTATTTTTACTAAACTTAAAATGGTTATAATAAACTTTTAATTATTTATTGAATAATATTTGAATAAGGTGAAGAAAACATGCATGACTTAAATTAATTTTTAACCAAATTCTGAGCTGAAATTTTCACTGCCTTCAAAAGGGGAATTAAATTAAAGCTTGCAATCAAGTTGTAGAAATTTAGATTCGTAGAATTCCAACTTGATTTGGCTTACTTTAAATTTAGTTCATACTTAGCTTGTTCAACTTTGGATACATCAAAATTGTATGTTATGGAACTGTTTTAAAACTTATACGAAGTAAGTATATTGGTATTGAAGGTGTCTTTGAAATAAATACACTTGATCATTAATGATTTTTTTATTTTATTTTATTTTATTTATTTATTTTTTTTCTGTTTTTGGTGTAGAAAGAGTCATAGAAATAAAATAATGTAAATGAGATTTAGTTTTTAGCTTTGGCACTAGTCTATCATCCTTCAATTTTTTAACAAAATAAACTAGTTGACATTTCCTTGAGAATGAACGATTCACCGAATCTCTAAAGAATGCCAATATTCGATATTTGTAAAGAATGTATTCGTTACTTGTAAAATGACAAGTTATCGATCGTTCATGAACTTTCACTGCTCAAGTATCGAAAGATAGCACCCTCAAAAAACATGCTACAATCAATGAGGTATCACTTTCACTCTGAATTAAGATAATTATATTTTAAAAAAAATAATTGGTATACATTGGCCATAAAAAAGAGCAAAAAAGAAGAAACAAAAAAAAGTAATTAATTCAAAAATACAAAGGGATAGTACAACAATTTACACTACAAAAACAAGTACTTTAAACCCCAGAAGGAAAAAGAGTGAGAGATTACAAAGAAATTGGTTTCTTTTCTTAGGTTGAGGTGGACCAAACCATAATATTCCTTAACAGCACCAAAAGACCTGCTCCAAACAGACAAAGATTAAAACACTTTTTATTACAAAGCTAAAAAAATAAAAAAATAAAAACAATTAGGAATGATGAAAAGTAAAGAATATATTTAGGAATATTATGTATTTACCAAATGATTCCTTGGAGTTGGACAACAAATAAAGGGATATTGAACTTAATTAAACATTATAAATTGATTTTGTTTCCAACTTCACTAAAAGTGTAGAATTTTAATCTATTCTGTTTTCTGACTTGAAGTGAAGAATTAAAAATTTTATAATACGTATTTGCAAAAAGTATTGAAATGACAAATTAAATCTTGAAAATTACTCTGTATATCAATTAAGGCGTATGTAGTGTCTAAAAAGACAAAATAAAAAAAAAGTTATCGCATATTATATATATATACTTCAATTTTTTTATATTTATATCTACTTATACTTTAAATAAATTGCTTATACGTGTGGAGTATTTTTGAAATAATTTCACCATTTCAATTTATAGTATATTGACTTGTAAAAGTGACTGATATAAGTACTAGGATATATTATGCAGAGGTAACTTTAAGCTAAACTCCATAGATAATATCCACAATAAGTTAGTTATATGGCAGGTAATTTAAGATAATGGAGGGAAAATCAGTTTAATTTATCTAATTGTTATATAATCGCTTATATTCTTAGACATTTTTACAAATATAATGTATACACTTATTAAAAAAAAAAAATGTATACATAAAAATGTAAAGGCTTTAACCAAAAGGGAAACATTTTTACAGACAAACTTGTTAAGCAATTTACAATCTTTAATTTTTTTTTTTTTTTTTTTTTTTTTCCCAGTCAATTGAGACAATATCATTTTGGGAATCAATAAACTTTAGAGGGAATAAAACATTAAGAATCAAATAAATATCATAAACAACATCAAAGTTAATTATGTTATGAATCTTTTTGTCACTAATTTGAAATTTATGAACCATTTTAACTTTAAAATATATAAATAAAAGTTTAAAATAATAACAAATCATCCTTTAAGAAAATTAAGTTATTATCTTAAATTTTATTATAATGTGGAGTAAGAAGTATATAATTTAATAAATAATTGACATGTAAATTAGCAAATAGGGTGTCTTACATTGAAGCAAGAGGACAAGAACCTTCTACAAGAGATAAGTGTATTAATAGTCTTCTTCATTTTCTTCTTGTTCTTCTTTGGAGAGTTATGAAGCTTAACAAACATATCATAATCATCAGAGCAAATGATAATCCCAGGAGAGGTTATGAACACGCTTCGACGAATAGGAGGCGACCAAAGGCTGCTTGTATCGTAGTCGAAATCAAACTCTAAGGCGTCAAAGAACTTGCCTAGGAGTCTATCTGATTTCGACTTTGACACCGAGAGGATGTGGCGGTTTTCTTCATCAATAATTTTGGAAGTACAAGTACTGCTGCTGCTTTTGGTGCTAATATTATCTGTTGATAATGATGGTAATGATGTTGAAGAAACGTTGGCTGATGATGATGAGGCCGACGAGAGGTCGGACGACGACATTATAATTATTATGTGGTGTTTTGAGAATTCTATGAGGTTTTGATGATGATAAGAGGTTTTGAGAGTGCTATATAAATGGAGTTGAAGTGTTGCAACTATAATTGATGCATGTTATAATTATACTAGGAGCATGGTAAAGCAAGTTGTGTGTACTTAAAAGTATATGTTGTGTGGTCATAATTGTATTTTTATTTATTTATTTATTTTATCAACCAACGGACCAATGATTTTTTTTTTATTTTTTATTTTTTTATTACTAGTATTATTAATTACTCCCTCCGTATTTAATTACTTACTTTATTTGTAATTTTTGCAATGTTTGTAATTCATACATAAGAAAAAATATAGTCTTATGGGTAATTATTGGAATCATCTTAATGAATAGCTTAATATTTTTCAATTGTTATAATTTATATTTATTGATAATTAAAGATATTATTGATCAAATAATTGCATTGACATACATGCCTAGGGTAAATGAAGCAAATAATAAAATACGAGGGGAGTATGAAGTACCATGCATGAAATATGGTAGCAAAATCAAAGATTATTGTCTAGTGTGCTTTTTAAATGCAGTAAAAGTCAAATTTTCCGATAATATAATTTCAAAGAAAATCAGTACTAGAGGTGTTAATTGGGTATCTGACTGTCTAAGTCAGGTTCGGTAAAATTAGGTCAGATTGGGGTTATTTTAAATTTATGTCAAGCTAAATTATTGTGTCCGTACAAGTCATAAGTTGAATTGAGTTTTACTCGAATTTGGTCGGTCTACTATAAGAGCTGTAATTGAGTCACTTAGTGTAAGTCAAATGTACAGTAGAGTAGGCTCCAAAAGGTAGGCTCGCAAGAACCGGATAGTACACAATGATGAATGAGCTCCAAATGGACCATGATTGACAAATGCACATTGTATGAATGATAGTCATAGTTCAATTCTATAGTAAACCGACCAATCTATAGCTAATTTACCCAATTTGACAACCTTGGAATGTTGCCAAAAATGTTTCGATTGTCAGACAATGACGCTCTAAATCACTGTAATCTATAATGGGAAACCAATGATATATATGTACACAGTAATTTTATATAAAAGCAGTAAAAAGGCTTCGAATTTCCATAAATGACATAAAGTAGTAATAATGATGATGAAGAGCTAGCTTACATAATCTTACTTGGTTAAAATGGTAAGTGGATATCACAATGATAACTACTTCTATAACTCATGTCCCGCAGAATATATTTTGAAACCGTTTGATTTTTATTTTATTGTCCAAGACTCTAAGTCGAAGGTTTGATGTTTACACACTTCAATCAGTTGTTGGCCTGGGTGTTGCCCCGGGTCGTTATATGTGATTAAAAATGAATCAAGTAAATTGTTGAATTGTGGAGTACTTCTAAATGTATATGAATGAGATGAGATAATTTTTTTTATTTATTGGATCCATAAACCTAAACTACAAAATGAGTTAATAGTTGATTAAAAGCTTTAGCAAAGTAAACACAATTATGCTTTCAAAAATGTAAACAAAATTATGAACATAAACATCAGGAACTAATCATGAGTCGGCAGATTAAATCTGATCTAGCTAGAAATGTTAAACTCCCTCTGTTTCTTATTTACAAGCCTATTTTTCATTTTTCACAGGAATTAAGGAACTTAGAGATCCCTTAAAACCAATGATTGGGAAGTACAAATATCCATATTGGGTTAGAGAGAGATAGAGAAAAAGAATAGGTACTTGGTAATTATTGAAGAGATGGAGAGAGAAATTGTTGGAAAATGATATCAAAAATACAAAAAAAATAAAATAAAAGAATTGACAACTCATCAAAAAGAGGGAATATTGTCAGAAAGTACATTATTTAAATAGAAATAAGCATATAAGTTTTTTGATTTCCCTGAAATGGAATACAGGCTTGTAACTAAGGGACGGAGGGAGTACAACTTATATACTTAGTACCATTTTTTTTTAAATTAAAAACATTGTTCATCCCTAGTGCTCTCTAAATAATAATAGCTCGTCTCTTCATTCTAAAGAGGTTAATAACTTCATCCTACAACAATTATAACCAACTTTACTTGCTCATCATATACATGTTGAAGTTAGATTGTGTCCGATTTGTGTTGAATCTACACAAGATAACAATAAAAACTGATTAAAGAAATAGCTTAGGAATTGGAAATTAATATGGATTATAATTATTTACCTTTTCACTCTTGTATTGGTTGTCTAGACACTCCTATTATTGAAATCTATGCAGTCTTCCTCTCCATAACACCACCCGCCACACAGTGTGTTTTAGTCGTTCTTGATTATCTCTCTTTTCATTTTCCCAATAAAGAAAGCTGATATATTCTATTCTAATTTAGAATATAGAGTGGTGATTGATAACGAAGTACAATATTTGACTGAAAATGGATTATTTATATAGAAGGGTTATAACATTCAAAGCATCTATTTGAACGAAAAATCAAGTAATTAATTGAGGTAGAAATTGGTGATACCATTGACGGTTAAAACTTACAAAATAAAAAAAATAAAAAAAAAAAATGAAAAAAAAAACCAAGAATAGTAGTACTATGTATGAAGGTGAAAAGTTGCATACATGAGTTTAGGTTTTAATTTTGGTCAATTTCAAACTTAATTAGTATGAGGAAAAATAATGAGCTATTCCATTATGTTATTATGGACCATATTAGTTACAAATATATTTTGGGCAATGCATTAAGATCATTACTAATATTCAATGCAATGGGTAGGAAGATAGTATGAGCAAGGGAGGTGTTGTGAAGGCAAAGTCCAAGTTTTGAGAGAGCTGACAAGCGCACTTTAGGGCGCGCTTTAGAGCATATTTTAGGATGATTTTGGATGTATTTGGGGCCGTTTTGGCCGATTATTACCTTGTTATGCTTACGTTCCCCATATTACGTGCTTCACGGGTTTTCGGTTTGTTTTTGATGTGTTTTCAGGTAATATCAACCGAGTTTAATCGGATCCCGAGCCCTTGATGCGTAACCGAGCTAGCCTTGACCGAAGTCCGAGGAGTTAAGGAAGTTCAAGTGTCGTGCATTGATTACATAGCACAGGCAGCACGGCCGTGTTACCATAGGCACACCCGTGCTGGCCTATAAGCAAGCAACCCCAGGCAAGGCAGCACGGCCGTGCAAGCCAATAGCACAGCCGTGTCAGTATCCACGCACCAGCACGGTCGTGCAGGCCATTAGCACGGCCGTGCCAGATGTTGCCCGTGCCCGTGTCAGCTTCAGTATGGGCCCCGTGCTAGAACATATTCAGCACGGCCGTGTCATTTTTAGCACGGCCGTGCCAGGAAGCTGCACGGCCGTGCCATATATAGCACGGCCGTGCCAATTTGAAGAAGAAACCCGGTTTACTTACTGACAAGCTAGCACGGCCGTGCCAAATACAGCACGGCCGTGCTGATCCAGGGTTAACTGCGCGCTTGACTTCTCCGAATTAGAAGACGTATATAAGGCCCGACTTTAAGAGGATTTGAAGACAGTTTTTTAGGGATAGTTTTTGAGAGCCTTGTAGAGAGTATTGGAGAACGTTCTTAGTATTAGAGATTCATTAGCTTTCTTAGAAATTATTCTAGCGATTTTAGTTTTTTCTTGGATCGATTTGAAACAAGATTTGTGAAGATTCTTTGTGTTATTCATTGACGACGGATATCAAAGTTCTGAACTTTTCCATTGATTCGCATCAATACAATTGGTATTATTCATTCTTGTTTATTAATCAAGCTTTATTATTCCTTAATCAGAATTCATGTTTATATCTATTATGCTTTTGGAATTCATTATTGCTTTGATTATGAATATGTGTGAGTAGTCTCCTAGCTAGGGTTTCGGGATGAAACCCGGCCTAGGTAATCTATGTAATTGAGGATTGATTTTGATAAACGGATTGTGATTAAATTGATTTTATGCGATTGCATGTTAATTCATTATAATAGGAGTAGCTAACCTAGAATCTTGAATTTGATTGCATGATATCCTTGATTTGAACAAGAGATTGTGAATTGAGTATTTCATTATTGAATGTGGTTTGATTTTGTATCGAGTAATGTTAAGTGCATGAGAAATCCAAGCTTAGTATTGCCCGTTGTCTTCGTATCACATGATATTGATCAGACATATAGTCTTTGCATATCCCGTTTGTCTTTGTGATTCCTTGTTGCGTAGTTACCGATGGTTTGGTGAATTCCCGTTCTCCCTAGTGTCTTAGTTTATTGATTTATTCCATCTTATTAGTAGTATTTTAGAACACCATTTTCCATTGATTTCGAACTAGCTTAGGTTTAAGATTGATTTGCAATTACTCTCGTTCCTCGTGGACCGAACCTTTATTTGCCATTGTACTTGGTTATAGGGTGTTCGTATAAGTATTGTTTGATTGAGAGTTAGATTGTAGCGACTGATTTAACCCTTGTCAAAATGGCGCTGTTGCCGGTGAGCGGTGTTTGTTAATTGCTTTTTGATTTCTTGAGTCTAGTTCATCATAAAAAAATACAAAAAGATTTTTCTTTTTGGCTACACTTGTAGCCCTGCTATTTAATTGGTTTGGTTAGTGTGTATGCGCAGGTCTAAACAGAGAGAATTAATACCCTTCGATCCAGAAATCGAAAGAACTTTGAAGAGCAATCGTAAATCTCGATTGACGTCATCAAACTCTCAAGGAAAGGAACACAACACACAACAGGTTCCAATGACAGACGCACCACGACCCCTTAAGGAGTTGGGAACTTCTGGGGCATATAGAGCTTCAAGTGGGATTGCTCCACCCACTACTAAGGCCAATGATTTTGAGATCCGGCCGGCTATGATCACCCTCATCGAGAGAAGGCAGTTTAGTGGTGCCAAGCATGAGAGCCCTTTGGCTCATTTGAACGAATTTGAGAAGTATTGCAATACCATCAAGGTTAATGGGGTGAATCAAGAGTTCGTGAGATTGAAGCTTTTCCCCTTTTCACTTATTGGGAGAGCTCTCGAATGGTTAGAGAAGGAGGTGAAGCCGAACTCTCTACACACTTGGGATGATGTCACGACAGCATTCTTGGGAAGATTTTATTCCCAAAAGAAGACGGTCGATGCTAGAGCTTTGATCCAGGGATTTCGGGAAAGGAGTGGGGAGTCAATCTACGAAGCATGGGAAAGGTACAAGGAGTACCAAAGAGAGTGCCCACACCACGGAATCCCAACATATCAAGTTTTACAGATTTTCTATGGAGGATT